AATTTATTCTTGATTTTTGACGATTTTTTTGACGATGAATCAAATAAAATCGAACATTGGAGAAAACAAATTTCTCATATAAGTACATTTTTAAAGAGATAGCTTTAAACTAACAAAAGAAACATTACAATTAATGCAATCTCAACAGTTTAAGAGTTGCCGGGGGACATGAAAATAATATTTCTTTTAATATTTATCATAATGTTCAACAGTTTTAAAAATACAGATGTGCTTGCAACTCTTCTAAATAGTTTAAAAATCGAAAACTCTTAGTATTTCCAATTTCAAATCTTAGCTCAATAGTTAGCTCATAGTTTGAGTTGTGATCATAATCTGTTTAAATGAAGCTGAGGAATTTGAAGTCTCAGATGCCATATTTAAGTCATTCAAAATAATAAAGCAATCGATCATAATAAAAGGTTCGCGCGAATAATGATTACTCATCGATCCGTTGATATTTGCATAAACTAAGCCTACAACTCTGAGCATTTGTTAAGACAAAAGTTAATTGTATGCTGATTGAATTTTGAGCCATTAAAATGAAACAAGCTCTTTGCTTTTATAAATCGAAAAACCCAACTGGTTGTGCTTGTCAACCAGAAAGGCAGTAAACTTTGATTAGATTCATTCGAGTCATGGCTTCTAAGTACAATAGTTACGACACTAATTTTAGCACTATTTTTTTAATTTTATTTGTATTAAAGAGCGTGTAACACAATGAAACAATCATTGCAGACTGATCCCAAGCTATACGTTAATATGAATACCAAATTGGGGACGGCAATTTTTCGCAACAAAATGCTGTGTTCATCTTTCCAAGCAACCAAACTCTTTATATCATTATAGTATGTGTAAACCGAGCACGCATAGGGTGAAAGTGTATAGTAGAAAGTCCAAAGTTCTCATAGAAATATTTAAACTTGATCTTGCATCAGCTCACTTGATCGTAGTTGCCATAGGAACGATCGGTGCCAAAACCAAACCTAATATTGTTGTGTGAATTAAATTAATACAATTGAGAATGTTTTATAATTTCTCGTTAAATTTAAATTTTAACTAAGCGTCCCCATCTTGTCGCTCGTCAAATTCAATTAATTTATTCCTTTCTGTTATCGTTTACTATCGATTATTGATCGCTACTTAGCTATTCGATCACTATTTGTTCATTGCTTAATTATTAGCTGTTAGTGAATACTGCAATTTTTGTTTATAAAGATATCTGAAGAACATTTGTCAGTTGTGATTTTTGATCAGTACCTCACTATAACCTGAAGTTTTATTTAAATCGGGGAACTACTGTAAAGCTGACACATGAATGTTTGGTAAAAAATGTTTTTTTCTGTTCGTTTTTTTTTTTTTATCGATTTCATTGTACACATATAGTATATGTATACTACAGACTATACATAATAATTTCTGTTCTTCATATTATTTTGGTTTCTAAAATACAATTTTTGTGTTGTGAGTGCGAGGTATTGAGGACGTTCTAGTCTCTGATAAACAATTTCAAAATAGTTAACGTCTTTCCTTCTACGCGCTTCACCACGTAGCGTTTCTTCTTTAGCAAGTCTGCTTAGTTTTTTCCATAGCATATATTTGTATATGCATTAACAGCATTAAAACAAACAATTTCACTAATCAAATGCACTTCTGATATAATTAGTGATTTTACTACAGTGTCGTCATCAGTCGTACAAAGGTATACTTATAAGTATACGCAATTATTTTATTTATAATTTTCAACCTTTTATCTGCTTGGCTTAGCAACATCTCCGACTACATGTGACCGTAAATCGAGGTATTGCTGGCCGAACGGGTGAATAAAATTCCCCCACGAGCCGGACTTGATAGAAGTTTTCGTAGGTTTACACGTATTTCTGGAATTCTTGCCTTTGATTACTCTAACGTTTTGCTATACTATATGTTAGCAAAAATACCCATAGGTAGCCGGGGAACCGTTTTTAAAGTAGTTTTACAAATTTTGAAACACATTATTCTTGCAACAGGTAGCTAGTTGGAAAACCGACGAGGTCGAATTGCTCTTTTCTTTTTAATTTATTGCCGCTTGTATCGTGCAAAAGTATTGGTTACCTTCTGGAAATTCGTTTAATTCCATTTTTTTCTGGATCTTTCAAGAAGTTTGCTATTGCAGCGCAGCTTTGTCTAATATTAAGCCAGTTTTCAAATGGGCCATAAGATTTTGAGCCCTATTCTTCGTAGGATAGGTGTTTTTATCGCGGCAATATATACAAACACCAAAAAGTGCTTCACATTAATGCTAATTACATTTATGCGTGGGTAACAGCATTTTATATTTTTTGAATACCATTTGTGAGTTCGAATCCGTTAAATAAATTCCGATGAATCTAGGATGGGAATTGAAAATAATAAAACCTTCAGCGCAAGGTATTTGTGTTTCTGTTTTTTTTTTGTGTTGTACAAAAATAAATTAAATAAATATGTATAGAAGGAGCTTCCCAAAGTAAACAGGACGTTATAAAAAATAAGAACACAGAATTAATATTTTTGCAAAATGAGTTTTGTTTTTTTTTTTCGAAGAAGTGCTTTAAGCCGTCGGTCCTTCAAAATGGTGGTACAAACCTTTTTAATGGCGTAATCGAAGATGAGACGGCACAAGTCCCAAGTATATCCTGCATATATTCGGACCGAGAACGACGAATAAAAGGCATCAAAATATAAAATTCATATAAATGACAGCATTAACGGTGCAGAAATGAATTCCTGATGAATAATGCCCACCGATCGTGGAAATAAATCAGTATTGTCTTCCCTTTTGACTTGTTCAAGCGGGATTTTTGGTTTTGGCTTTTCTGGGTGATACCATTTGGCACTTTGACGTTTGGTTTCAGGATCGTATTGAAAACATCACTAGACAGTTTTTACATTTTGTTGAAATTTTATTTATGTCTTTCAAATTTCAATAAAATAGTGCAAAACAGAGCTATGAATCGTTGCTTTTTATATCTAATTTGATATTGATTGAGCTTTAAAATGAGTCAAGGAGTCATTTGCACGAAGGATTTGAGTTTAATTATAAAAAAAAACCATTCAATAGAAATGAAAACACATGCGTGGATTTTATTTAAACATAAAAATAAAATGTTTATGTTTCAGTTTATTGTTGCTGCTGTTGTTGTTGTTGCTTTTTTAGTGTTGGTTTTTCAATGTTTGTTTTAAATATTTATAAACACTAAATTAAAAATGTATTAGTACATGTGTTGCTTCTGACGGTTCATATATATTTGTTCTTAACGTTTAGACGCTGCAATTAATTAACTATAAATAATTAATCAATTAATAATATATATATATTTGTTTAAACTAAAAAAAATAAACATAAAAATAATAATAATTTAATAGAATAAAAATTAATACAATTTCCATTTATGTATTTTTGTTGTATGTATGCGTCTGTGTGTGTTGTGTTTTGTGTTTTTGTGTGTATTGGCATGAGTTTTATGTGTGCGTAAGTATATGTATGTATGTGTGTAGATATGTGTACATGGCATTTGTAAAATAATTTTTAAGGCAATTTTTGTACATAGGTATGCTATTACAAAAAATTCTCACACTTCGATTATAATTTTTAAAAAACTTCGTTCATGGGCAACAAATTTTTTTTTTGTTTTTTTTACAATTTTTTCATTAGTTTTCTGTTTTTATTACAAAATATTATTTTCAATGAAAATGTTTTTTGTTTTTTTTTCTGTTTTTTGTAAAAAATATATAACAAGACTCTCACTCGTGCACTCGAAAAAAAAAAGTTTAATATATATGTATGTATATATGTGCATTATTTTGTATACTTGTTTGTATGTGTATGTATGTATGTACTTAGTGTGTGTGTGGGTGTTTATGTGTATGTAAGTAACAATTAGTACAAAATAATTTCACATTGAAAAGCTCAATTTCCATTACATTTTCACGTGCTTCTTCTAGCATTATCATTTTATTTAATGTTATTTTATTATTACTTTTTTTTTTGGAAAAACATGCTTAAAAACTATTTTTGCCATTCAGTCAATCAGTTGAAACTTTTGGTTGGTGCACGCCCAAGCAGTCGCATAGGGGTTAAGCTCTGAACTCACACCCACACATATCGCATACATATGTACACACATGTGTGCATATAAAAAAAGTATGCATGTACATATGTATGTATGAGTGGGTGGGGCAAGCAGCGATGCGGCTGTGGGCGGCGCCGCCCGCACGCTCCGCTCACACGCAAGACACGCGCCAAATGCGTTTCTCACTGCGTTTTGTTTCTCATAAATTACATAAATTAATTAATTAATCAGAAAAAAAATCCTCATGTTGGTGCATGATAATCGATAATCGATAATAAGTAATGTGTGTATGCATATAATAATAGTCGTAATATTTTTCCACTCATACTATGTCGTATGTATTTTTTTCTCTTCTTTTGCTTTTGCTGTTGCTGTTGTTGTTGCCTTCCAAATTGCAATTTAAAATGCATTTTAAATTAATTTGAAAACGCACTACACTCTAAACCAAAACTGATAAAATGTTTCTTTATGAACGAACTATGATTTATGAACACAGCACAGTTTCTTCTTTTTTTCAAATTTCTTTTCAAATTATTTGAAAATTTAATTTAAATGAAGTGTTCATTTCCAAAGAGTTGCGTATGAAAAAGAACATTTCAAAAAAAAAAAAAAATGCTTTCTAGTAAAATTCTGCGTGTGAGAATTTAAAGCAACTGCACTGGTTTTTGTTTCAGTTTCCGTTTTCCGTTTCCCCTCATTTCGCTCCCCCTACCACTCGCACTTCCCTTTTCTGATCTCTTTAAATATGTTTGTATGTATGTATATAGCTGTGTTTGCTTCTGTATGTGTGTGTCTGTGTGTGTGTGTGTGTGTGTGTGTATCTGTGTGTCTGTTCTGTAGTTTATAGTATATAATACAAGGTTAACATTGCTGCTGCCTCTGACTCTTTCACAACAACAACAACGCGTTATAGTATATTGTAGCAGTATACATATATACATGTATACATGTATACTATATATATATATCGAAATCGCACCCGATCTATACATACATAGCTGTTATATGTTATATGCAAGCAAGTCCAAAGTGGTTTTACTTTTCACATTATTTTCTTTTGCCAAATCAACGGCTTCCGTTGCCGTCGTTGTTGCCTCTGCTACTGCTGCTTCTGCTGCTGCTGCTGACGTTGCTGATTCTGCTGCTTCAGCTACTGGCTGCACGCTGCTGATGATGTTGCTGCTGCTGCTGCTGACGCTTGTGGTGGCGTCGCGATCGGCGACATTGCGTTGAGCAGCACTCGTCGATGGGTGCTGCTGCCTCGCTGCCGGGCTTCTCGAAGATACGACGCTTTTGTGACACTCGCGTTTGTTGGCATGTGGAGCGGGAGCAGCGCTTGCGGTCGCAGTTCACCTTGGAGTCCTGTCGGATGGGGAAGAGGGAAGAAGGGAAAAGAGTATAGTGAGTAAGCTGTTTTTCGGCTCTGTGGTAATGTCTTTTCGATGAACTTACCTTGCAACGGCATTTGATGCACTTTTGCTCGCCATGCGACATGAGCACGGGATGCCACTCCTGTCCATTCTCGTATATCTTGTTAACCACCTTGCAGCCGCCAGCGGCTAGCACTTCCTCGGCACTGTGCGCCGCGCTTCTATGCACCGCCTGATCCTGCAGCACATTTGGATTATTGGGCGTCGTCTTGTCGCCTCTCGCACTTTGTTTGCCCTCGGGACAGACTTTGCAGCAGGCCTTTTTGTCCGGACGATAGGCCAACTTTTCCGAGCAATGAAGCGGTGGGCAGACCATGCGAGGGCAGCGCACCTCCAAAGTCAAGGGGTCACAGCTACAGGTGGTGCAAGTGTCGAAGCCATTCGGCGGCAAGAATGGATGCCAAGTAGCGCCGGCCAAATGGAACTGATCGCCCAGGCGGCAGCCCCGTTTCGACTGCTGGACGGAGTCGCTGCTGTTGCTCAGTAGCAGTTCGGATCCGACAGAGCTGCGCTTAGGCATGCAGGTGGCACAGCATTCACCCTCCCGCTGTACCAACTCCTCGCTGGCTGTCTTGCACTTTACGGCCGGGCACTTGATGGGTTCGCAGGTGGCATGGCCCCGTTGACAGGCGCACATTTGGCAAGTGTCCTGCGCACTGCGCCACTGCTCGGACTCGTTGTAGAAGCGACCCGAATGGAAGCATTTCGTCTCGGCGGTGATCAGATGATTGTCATTGTGATCGCCCGGCACGGGAACATTATTGTCCGTGTAGATGGGGAAACAGTGGGCAGGCACCTTGGTGGACTTCAATTTGCCACGCAAAAGCAACTCCTTGCTGTGCTTTGTATGCACTTCCAGATAGCATACGCTAGTCTCCAACTTGATCAGCTCCAATGAGGGCATGCCCAGGACGAAGCCCTCCATATACGATCCGTTGAATTCCTCGAGTAGTTTACGTGTCACTGGTGCACCAATCGCTTCAATGGGCTTCTCCTCCAGATAGATTTGCATATCTTGCGGTGTATGGACGCCGTTTAGAGTCACCTCATAGTGTAGATTACATTCGTTATCAATTGACATCCAGGCCATGCCCATGGCGTGCGGGGAAACGCTTTGCGCATGCTCCACACGCTTAAGCAGTATTGGTTCGGCCGAGTCGCGAGCATCGGCAACGGGTCGCGGAACAAGACGACCATGGATGAGACTGGTCTGATGCTCCGTTGCCACATTAACGCCCAGTTCACCAGCGTACAGCGATTCCAAAACTTTAGGGCCTAGCTTCTCAACGCTGCCAGTGGCTTGATTGAAATTGAAACTGGGCGTCAGATCCTCCAATTTGCCCTTTGCTCGCTTGCCCTGATCCTCGATCAGACTGATGCTGGGACGATCCTTAGTGTTGACATGATCCGTTTCGATGTTGTACGCGAGCGATCCGTCCGTATTAAGGTAAACCCAAGCCAAGCCACTGCTTCGTGTGTTGGCCGACTCTCCGCCATGTGGTGCCAACAAGGTCTGGAAGATCTCGCAGCTGGCTCGCGTAATAATGTGGCCTTGGATGCGCAGATGGGGATGCTTTTTCGACTCCACGGTTAGGAGCAGCTTGCCGCGTGACATTAGACGTAGATTTTGGATCGAAACGGGTGAGGATAGCTCAAGCACGTTTATCTCGGCCGAAGGCTTACGTACACGTTGCACCTCATCGAAGATCAGTTCCTTGCGCTCAGCCAGTTCAATACGGACATTTAGTTGGGCATCCGCAAATTCTTCAGCACTGAAGACACCATTGAAGACCAGGGTCAGGTGCATAGAGGAAGCAGCGCCACTACTTGTGGACACAATGGCTGTGCCACCAGCGCCAGCTAGCTGGGGATCTGGTTTGCCATTTGCCGTTAGTGGTGCCTCCAATAGCGAACTGAAGAGCTCCGTTTGCAATGCCGTGTATTTATCAATCTTACCGGCCAGTGCTAGTTCCGCCTGATGCTTGTTACCCCAGAGGAGAACCACATGGAGACGATCATCGCGCAGAATACGCTTATAGTCTCTTGGAACACGGCGCCAGACTCCACAAATTTTGCCGGTGGCGTTCTGATAGACGCTCAGTGTGCCACTCAACGTTGGCTCCAGTTGATGCTCCTCTAGAATAACACCGGCATCATCAACGAATTGTATGGAACGCGGACGTCCAATGCGCGCCGATGTGTAGAACGAATAGTAAAGGTTCTTCTTGTGGAAAAGAAAGCGACCGGTGGCGACCACGTTCTGTGGATTGTAGGTGGTGTACATGGACTTCATTTCCTCGCCCTTCAGAAAGAATGATGTGCGTCCCGTTAGCAGCGCAGCGTAGTCTGTTGAAATACATAGGAGAGTTATAGATTGGATAAGGCTAATGGAAATGAGCAGAAACAGGACATCCACAGCTTAAGAGTCCCAAACAAATGAAAATCAATTTTCTACCGCCTTATTTTGAAGTCACTAATCAAGCAAAAAGTAATAGTATTAATATATATTTTTTTAATCTATAATCCTTATATAATATCTGTCGTAGCTTGGATAATTATGGAAGTCCTGCTAGCTCGCCCCATTAATATTAATTGATGCTAATATTAATTGATGATATCGATCTATCTAATCTGATTTTAATTGAATCATGGTTAAAACTTCGTATCTACGCTACTATAATTGCTGGGAGTTTTGTGGAATGTAGTATATTATGTAAATATGTATAGGTATATAATTATGTTTTTGTTAAATACTTACGTTTCATATTGCGCTCCTCCTCTTCAATGGGCACGGGCACATCCAGGGCAACATCCGTATCTGTAAATGAAAACGAGCAGAGCGTGCAATTAGAGATAATGAAACAAGCACCTCAAAATGCAACAACAACGACAACGATCAGCAACAATAGCTGCAACAAAGAGCGCCGTTCGTTTTGTTGGAACTGACACCAGTTAAATGGAATTTAGATATGAACCATAGGCAGTTGGGTCGCTTCAAAGGCAGCCGTCGTGAGTTGTGAATGAAAATGAAATGAAAATGCGCATGAATGAGCGAGCGCTGCTAGCTGCTAGCTGTTACCAGAGATAGGGAGCGTTTTAGAGCGCTTAACAAATGCCGCACGCAGCGCTTCAGGTAAAGGTGAGCTGAGGTGAGGTACATACATACATACATGCATACATACATACATACTATGCATAGTACTCGCATATCTGTGTATGACCGTAGGCCTCATTTTGTGTGGCCGTACGTTCGTTCATTAATCGTGCATAAATTGAGGAGACCCAGACTAAGACACGGGCTCAGGCCGAGGCTCAGCCGGTGGCTCAGGTTCAGGTTGAGGTTCAGCTTCAGCTTCAGGTATGTATATAATGTTTAATGCTACATACGAGTACTACCTAGCCAAATTGAAGTTCCAGGAATTCATTCACAAAATGAGAAAAACAAGAGAAACGAGAGAAAGAAGAAGAAGAGGTTGTCGGGTCGAGGGCGTTGCGGCTATGACACGCTCATTTGGTGGCGTGAAAGTAGGTGGACAGCATTGTGGCATTCGCAGCCACACTGACGACGACGATGACGTCGTTGAGGATGGTGCTGGTGCCGGTGCTGGTGATGGCGATGGTGACGACGACATACATTTCCGCCCAGCCAAGCCATTGATTGACAGACGCAAAAGCAGAAACATAAATCACCGACTGAGTTCGTTAGAAGCCAATCAGGTCCAGACCCAGGCCTCACTCGGACCCTCTACTCTGACATACCAGCGCTGACCGCCAGTTTCACAAACACATACACACATACACACAGATGCACAGATACACATACACGTACATGTGCAAGGAGAGAGACTTAGAGGCTCGCAGAAGACACACAGACTGGGACGCCAGATCGTATAAAGCTGATTAAAAAAAAAAAAACAAAAAAAAAAAAGCTGTTGGCAACAGCAGCCGGGCAGCTCAATGGAATTTCGATTATTTTATGCTGTATACTATACTACTTATATGTATATCTACGAGTATATGTATGTACATACATGTATGTATATATAGATATTTTATTCTGCTCTTAAGCCGCAAACTTTGCCGCCGTCGCTGCCTGCACCTTGGAACGCGCGGGCGCATAATGAAGGGCGACAAATCTGACACCTTGTATGGCATTTTATTGAGGCGCGCGCAACGTTGTGCGGTTGATTTTGCGTCTCTTACTGGCTCTGCCCTACTCTCCCCTACTCTGCCCTCCTCTGTTGGGCTGTGCTGTGCGGTGCGGTGCTGTCCGATCTTATCGCTTGATCTTAATACGAGGCACTTCTGAGCAAGGCTCTGGCGCAATGCCTGATGTCCAGGCCCAAGCCAGGCCCAGGCCGAGACCCAACCAAGTTCACATCGGCTGCTTAGCCAGTTTTGTTGGCTGCTTTTTCAATTTGACGCGTCTTGTGCATTCTTCGCTTATTGGCAGCAGCCCAGCAACCCAGCAACCCAGCAGCCCAGCAGCCAGTGCCCTTGACTTGGCCTGGTCTCTTCTTTTTGTTTTTGTTGTTGCTGCTGCTTTGGCTTGCAGATGAATGAATTTTTTCGTTTCTTTTTGGTATTTTTAAGCCAAGATAAATGAGTTTTCGTGCGCACAAAGACGACGACACGTTGCTCATCATGACAACGCGGACTGAAAACGCTCGTTGCCGACAAAGCCGCAGCCGCAGCCGCAGTCCCAGCCCCAGCCCCAGCAGAAGACAAACGGCACCTTCGTTGTTGTCTTCTTCTGATTCTTTTACTACTACTTCTTCTTCTTCATCATCATCTTGTTGGTTGGCGGTACGCTTCACAGTCGTCGCATTGAGTCAACGCTTTGGCATCTTGGTATGTGAAAGATACAAACGAAAAGAATCTCGGCCAGGAAAAAAAGTAGAAGGGCTCATTAACAAAAGCTTAAAAGTGTTTTTTCAAAAAAGAACACGAGATGTCCAAAGCTAGAGCAGGAGTACAAATAAAGGAAAGAGAGACAGAGATAGAGAGAGAGAGAGGGAGAGAGAGAAAGAGCACGAGCTTCAATGTGTGTAAAGATCAGATATACGGCGCGAGAAACGGACACTAAATAAGTGAACTGGTTTGATGGACGGACATGCGCTTAGTTTGCTGCTTGGATTGCTCGGCTCCGTATATTTCCATAGAATTCTGTTTGGCGTAAAAAGAGCAGCAGTGGTATATGACTAGGTGTTGCTCTTTACGACCACGAGTGCGGATGTGTGAGATGATGGGCGAGATCTAGGCAGAAGATCATGTACATCCCGCACTCGACATTAGTTTCGTTTAAATATCGCACGTAATTTAGCCTCAAACTCTACTGCACTCTAAAGTGGACCTGGCCAGTTGTGGGGTTCGGTAGAAATCAAGTCACTGATTCGTAGCAGACTCAATCGGATCGCATTCAAATGATATACATGATTTTATTCAGCTTGTAGTCGTGCTCCGCACATTCAAGTGTGCCGCCACACAAAAATCTCCCTTACTACGCGAATGCCATACTTTATCGTGAACAGTTCCGTTCGATTCGAGCGCACGATAAGCTCAAGAAATTGTTCATATGAAGCCGCGCGCCCTGCGATAAATATCTACAAGTAACTATCTATGGCTTACCCATTTCTATTCTCATGCGCGGTCATAAGGAGATACAATAAAATGCTACAGTACCGATTGGGAAAGTCAGAAAGAGATAGGGGCAGAGAGAAAGAGTGAGAGAGAGACAAGAAAGGGAAATGGGGAGAGAACCCTAATTGTCAGGAAACGTTACCGCAGCGACCACAAAAGATGTCATCAACTTGAATTGTCAACATAATGGACAACAGAACGCAAAATCGGAGCACGGCGCTCGTCCATAGTTACGGGGACTGTGCCTGTCTGCGTCTGCGCCTGCGCCAGCGCCTCTGTCTTGGTCGCTAGCTGCCGTTTTATCAGATGTTGAATGTTGCTATTGCTGCCACAAAACATTAACTTTTATTGCCCGACCGATCGACCGATCGGCCGGCTGCCTTCTACGCTGCCTTGCCGCTGCTGCTGCTCCTTCTTCTGGGCTTCGTTTCTGTTTCTGTTTCGTTCGGTTCGGTTCGGTTTCTTTTTTCTTTTTTGGGCAGATTCTTAATGATAATTTTGTAGCTTGGCGTTGTTCACAATTTGATGGACCGCCCGCTGTTGCCACAACGACAACGATAACGAAAACGACGACGACAACGAAAACGACGACGACAACGACGACGTCGTCATCATCATGAAATGCAACTAAATGAGATAATTTAATAAGCGTTAAAATGCTCGACTTGTGTCATTATAAAAATAACGAAAAAATGCATAAATTAATGCGACCGGCTACGGGCTCTGATGGCAGTTGAAACGTTGAATCGTTGACTGCCGGAATAGGTGACTAGCTGACTAGCTGACTGGCCGACTGAGCTACCTATACGCCTGGCCGGGCGTACATGCTCCAAAAATGGACTTTTAACGAAGCAATTGTCTGTGTGCATCGACATTTGCAGCGGTAGCGGCTTCTTGATTATATAGCCGTCGCGATCGAGCGGCTAGCTGACGAGTTGGTGCGCCAAATGCTCGTTCCCAACATTTTCATATATGCATGTACATGTATGTATGTATGTATGTATGTATGGGGTATGTGTGAGTATGTGTGTGACAGGATGACGACAGACGGCGAAGAGTATTCGAAGCACAAGCCATTCTGGCCAAAACTATGCAGAGGTAACAACATCGATGACGTTGCTACTGCAGACGACAAAGTGTATGACAAAAGCAGCCACACACACACACACACACACCAATGCATGTGGTGTGTGACTGTGTGTGTTTGTGTGTGTGAACGAGGATAGTTTGTTCAGTAAGCTATTGCTCAGAGGCAGCTCAAGAGTGTTGAAAGATTAGCAGAAAAACTATAACTAGTCTTAAAACCTTTTAAAGTAGAACCCACATTAAAAGTTGTCCCACCCTATAACTCGACAACTTATTAGCTGAACAAAAACATAAATTAAATAAATATCAGAACTTGGTAGGCTAGAAAACTTTTTTTACATATTCAAGTTGAAAGGAAGATTTTAAGAAAATGTATTGCCAATTATTTAGGTAAGACATTCGAGGCTAATATTTTAGCCAAGCTGCAACATGTTTTCCTTTTACTACAAGTATTACTTGACGATAGACTTATAAAATATTACTTATACAAGTATATATTAAAAATTTGAAATAAATGTGCAACACTTATCAAACAACCCACCAATGTTGCTATGCAGACATGGATAGGAAGAAACCTAGACGCTGCTATCAAGCTAACCAAGTTGGGCAAAAAATAACTTTGGAAAATCAAAAGCAAAATATGCTGTGGCCATGGCCATTGTTGTTGTTGTTGATGATGGTGAAAAATATTTGTACAATAGCCGCGTGTTTGCGTGAGACCAAGAGCTGAGAGTCGAGCCGAGTCGAGTCGAGTCGAGTCAAGCTCAAGCCGCACCCTTGTGAGCGAGAGTGTGCGTTTGTGTGTGTGTGTGTGTGTGTGTCTCCTTCCTTCTAACTATTTATGGCAAACGAGTTGGCCAACAAAACAAGCAACAACAACAACAGCAACAAGCTGCTGCAATTGAACATGGCATGCAGGCGCAACCATTAGCTATGCTTCCTATTAAATAAAAGTGAAATTTTCATTTTTTGACTAGCTGCCAAGGTGCGACAACACCCTTTCCCCTTCACCCACTCCTTTCCCCACTCCCTCCCAACGAAGTTTGCTGCTTGTCTGACAAATGATGGCGGTGGGTGGCAACGTCAAAGGTCAACGGCTTGCATAAGCAGCCGCTGGGCATGTTGGTCAGTAGCCTCGATGAGCATAAAATGAAAAATTGCCGCAAAACGGAAACTAATGATGTTGTGATGGTGATGCAGTTGAAGCTCTGGCTGTGGCTGTTGCTGCTGCGGTGGCAACCAGTTTGCAGCCACTGGCCTAAACTCAAAGATGCTGGCATGCCACACAGCAACAGCAGCAACAGCAACAACAACAATAGTTGTTGCAACAACAGCTGCGGCAGTCTGGAATTCAAGAGTCAGTTGATTATGTGAAAAATGTCACACACACGCACACACATATGCAGACAAAGACGCACCTTACTTTTAAGTATTTTTGCTTGTTCCATTTGGTCATATACTATTTTTCCCCTTGTTTTTTTTGTTGTTGTTATGCTCTGCGCCCGCTCATAACTTTTCTAATTATGAATTCAATTCATGCAGAAAATTAGCCAAAGCTTTGCGACTGAGTTAGTCAGACGTTGCTATATGTAGGCATGATATATGTCCACACACACACACACACACACACACATACACGTATACATAACGCAGTCAAAACTTTGATAGTATGGCACATACATTTTTTGTTTGCTGCTACCATGTTCTTGTTTTAAAGCATAATAAATAAAAGCGCTCTAAATATATGTGATACACAGAAAATCGGCTATGAATATATTCGTATACTCGTGTAGTATGTACATAAATACTATATGACTATGGCTAGTCACAGTCATTGGTATGCTGTATGCTATAAAAAATGACATATTTTTCGATGTAGCAAAAATTATTAAATTTATGATTAAGCACACATAACATAAAACATAAAACATGCGCCCTACATCTGACTCTCTGATCAAAAGCCAAACAGAAAAGCTCGAAGGATTCTAAAAGTGACAAAAACTAAACTACTATAACATGTGACTGAGATGCTAAACGACTTTATTTCGCAACTTGTTCAGGATTACTCGTACAATATGCTAGATTTGATGGGTATTTAAAAAACTCGCCCACCATCTTTCAAACAACAAATTACCTTACTATGCAACATTACCTAAACAACATTCTGAAAACGTGCCATAAAATATGACCAACATGTTGCTTTGAAGAGTGCAAAAAGCTCAACTGGGCTTGAAAAATTATATGTTTCTGATATCATAATAATATGATATAGATAACCAGAAAAGGTTCGGCAATATCTTGAAAACCATTGAATGCTTATTCTTTTTAATGGTTGAACTAATACCACACACTGCTCAGGATTATAATTATTATCTTTAACAAATTTCGAAAATATTATTTTAAGGAGAGGGAAAAAAATGTTCTGCAAAGTTCTAGAAGTCTTAACTCACAAACTAAGATTTAATATTATTTTCTCAGCATACTATATCTTAAAGCAATGTTGGTCTCGGATGGGTTCGGCAATATATATTAGATCTCTGATTGTAGTACTTTGACCGCAAGCTGGTCAGGAATTTTGTGTGCCATAATTAGTTTCTGGATATCAACTGCGCGCATTTATTGAAATTCCCGCCATATCTCAAAATGTTAATATACCCCAAACATTCCATTCTTAATGCCTTACCCACAAAGGCACGTGCAATCCCAGTGGACACACACAGGCCGACAACTGCTGCGAAAACAAACTTCCAACCAATTCTTCAGCCATTCCCCCCTCGTCCACCATTATGCGGCCGCATGAGACGTTATTAAAAAAGAATATAATAATAACATGCAAAAAGCAAATACATACAATAAATTAGTGCAGAGAAAAATGAAAGCGAGATAAAATAAAAACCAAACGAAGGAAATAAAAAAATAAAATTATGAAAAGATACGAAAAATAATGAATATACGATGTGTTGGAACTGGGGGACAGCGACAGCGGTATTAAAAATAAATATAAATTGCGTAGCGTTGACCTTCAATTCGTACCAAGTAATTTTTCATAAGCAATTTACGCTTAAACCATCACACCACGCACACATTTGTCCATGTGTCCATGTGTCTGTGTGTCTATATGTCTATATGTCTATATGGACATATGCAATCCCCCAAGCCAATCCCAGAAGCATCTAAACATACTAAATGTTGTTTTTTATGGTCCATCGCCAGCTTGCTGAAAAGTTTCTTACAGCTGCGTCGTTCGTATGCTTAATTATTCATATTAAGATCGGCACATATAGTGAAGCATATATTGTATTTTAAATTCAGATACCTATACCTATATATGAAATGTGTGTAGTATGTATATTTGTGTTTGCTCTCTATACTTATTTACAAGCGCATTTTATACCACGGCGCGTCGTCTGCTGTCTGTTGTCTGTTGTCTTCATCGTCGCCGCCTAATCCTTGTGGCATATTCGATGTTTATTTTTTAATAACTTAAATGTATTTCGTTGTTGTTGCTGCTGTTGTTGCTGCTGTGCTTTTTTATTTTTGATTAAGCGTAACAACAATTGCAAGTGTCAAAATATTGAAACATTTAAGAAAATTTATAAAGCGCGCAAAATGCTTATACATATACATATATGTATATACTTGTAGTATAGTATGTATGTATGTATGTGTGTGTGTGTGTGTGTGTGTGTATATGTAAGTGTGTGTCTGATATAGTGGTCGCCGACTGTTTGCATTTGTCAGTGGCGACCGTATAGCACCTATGACGCATAAGCTTGGCATGCTTTTTGGCTAACTTGGCTGTAGGCTGACTAGCTAGCTGCCTGCCTGCCTGCCTGCCTGCCTGCCTGGCAGTGAAAGTGTTATTATTTTTTGTTTGTTGCTATCTATGGCTATAGCTGTGCCCTGGTATTAGGGTTGTGAGATCTTTTCAATCTGCACTATGAACTGGTTCTCCTTGAACTTCTAATGATTAAATCCTATGATATGCAATGGAATTACGAACTGTTTCTTTTTAAAATTCTACTGAAATGATACTGATAAACAGGCTAAAGTAATTGGTGGAATTTGTCAAGAGCAAGCTAAAATTCTTTATAAAAAATTCTTACAAATCTTAACTACAAATCTACTTTCCTTAAAATGCACTCCTAAAAAGGATATAAGTATTTGTGATAATTTATCATTACAGATTTGAGAAAGATAAAGATAAGATAAATTTCTTGTTTTGGCATTTCAAGAAATGTTGTTGGAAAAACTGATAAAAACGGAAAAACTGCAATCAAAAATAAAAAAAAACGTAGAGCACAAATTTAAGATAAGAACTAGTTCGCGCACAGCTCTAGCAGAATGCATGAAATGATTTCAAAAACTCAAATGCTCAATAAAATTGGTCACAATTTGAGTTTAGTTCCCTTCACAGCTTAAGCCACTCTAGCAACTAAATTTAACAATTTCTGTGACTTACTTTATAAAATAGAAATATACAAGTAGGTAATAAGCAACAATTTGGATTGTTGGGGCACTTACCATTACGATCGCCGGGGCACGTTTTGCAGCATTTGCCGGGCAATGAAATCGGATCATCACATTTGGCTGGGGGGCATTCGTTTTTAATATTGCGACATTGCACGCGTGCAACAATGCGACGTTTTCTTGGTATCTGCAACAGACAAGCAAAATCAAGAGACATATTTATATATCAGTTCAAAATGTGTTAATGATGATAAAAATAGGTTTAGTTTAGTTTAGTTTTGGACTAAAATACACATTCTGACACTTTAACTTTTGATTGATGGCCCAGCCTTGTTACGTTTTTAGATTCGTTTCGTTTCGTTTCTGTTCTACTCTATTCTACAATTCTATTATATTATATTTTGTTTTGTTGTTGCTTTATTTTTGTGTGGCTTTTATTGGTCGGCTCATATATTTAATTTTTATGTGTATATTATTAAATTTGCCAGCCCAATTAATTAGCGCCACATTTCACATTTTCGCACGCATAAATGCAGCTCGACTAAGGTGTATTTTCATATATAAATACATATCTACGAGTGTATGTATGTACATACCTACATATGCACAAATATATGTACATATGTGAATTATTATTATTTTCCACTTTATATTTTCTTGTGTCTGCTTTAATTTTAGTCTCATTTCCAGCTTCTTTTTTTTTTTGTTTTGTTTCTAATTTAAATTTCGGTTTGTGCAAATAGTATAAAAAAAGCACATATTTATTTATAATTTTATTAATTCGTTTGGTTTTTTGTGTCAATTTTGGACGCTGTCTGTTTTGTTTGTTGTCTGCTGTCTGTCTTTTTGATGTTTTTATTATTAATTTTTATTTGTGAGCCAGTTCGTTGCTTTAATTCACCTGCTTTATAAAACAAAAAAAATTTTATTAACTTTATTCTTTCATACTTATAGTATTATTGCTTGACAGTTGGATATTTTGTCGTTGCCTAAAGTTGAGGAAAATCGCTCAAATAACTTTATGATGTGCTCATTTATTCTGTTGCATCAACATAAATTATAATTAATTAATAAAAAAGGCGACTTTTATGCAATGAAATTTCATTGGTTTTTATTGCGTGAAGGCGACGCGTCGCGAACGGCGAAAAGGCCATTAAAATGATGATACCAGGTGGAACTGGGACACGTACTACAAGTCTATATACATGCTATATATGCTCGTATAAATTATACTTCTTCTGTGTGTGTGTGTGTGCGGATGGATAATTAAAAATGGGCGACTGTTGAGCTTTATGTGTGGGGAATTAACTCTGTTGCATGTACTATTCGTATAGTAGATGATGATTAGGCATGAGTATGCCAAAAGATGATCTAATAATCTGAAATGCTTGCTGCTGCTCCTAATTAGTTATATAGTACTATACTATAATTGACTTGTTCAACAATTTCTTATTTAATGGCCGATTCTAACATTTTATGAGACTCAAACTAGCAGCTGATCGATTGAGTCCTTGGGCGTGACATTTTTCAGATTGGGACGGTTTTGCTGGAAGATTGAAAGATAAACTTTTGATCGCTGACAAGAGAGGGGATTATCTCTGAGGATTAATTATTGAATGCCTGCCAAATGATCTGCAGAGCTAAAATATACTATTGTGGAAAACACTATATAGAGACTGACTAATTGCAACGATAAAGCAATTTTCCAACTGTTTTTATAGCCCATGCCCAAATATTGTTCATAGGTATTGCGCCTATATACGAATGCTTAGAAACTGAATGATAGATGGACTGTTCGATATGTTGCTGTTGTTGCTTTGTTTGTTTAACGCGAACGCGTCTGGTCAGCGGCAGACTCACAACAACAAAAATACACGAAGACTTTATGGCGTCAATTGATTTTCTTCTGCCTGTTGTTTTTCGTTTTTCATTTTACACACACACACACACAAGCTTGTACGTGTGTGTGTGTGTGTATGTGTGTGCTTATGTGTGTTTCTGCTGTACGCAGAACTTGAACGAGGACACAAGTGTGACATTTTTATATGTCGTTTGGGAATTGCCGCTTATTTTTTTCACGCGCCGCCTCCTTCCCCCTCTTTCGTTCCCTTTCTCTCCTAATTTTTGTTGCTTGCGCACTTGTCTCTTTGTATGTGTTGTATCGCATGTGTGTATGTGTGTGTGTGTGTGTGTTCAATGCAAATTTTTGCGTAATTTGATAAAAAAGAAACTGAGCGACAATGCTGATTCGTTCTTCTTTTTTTGACTCTACTTTTTCTATTTTCTTTTTCTTTTTTTTTTTTGGCAAGGCTGCGTTTGTTGCTGTCTTTGTTTTGATTTGCCGCAAAAGTTTTCCTACTTGTATGTGCCTGCCCTCATAAACTATACATATATATGTATGCATATATATACGCTTATGTATGTGTGTGTATGAACTATATGCATATGTACATATGCCTGATCGTAATAAAAGACCTTTAAAATCAATATTAATCATGCGTAAAAATGCCATAAATTATGCTGGCTGGCTACGTTTCATTTTTTTCTGCTCTATGCGGTTAATTTTTTGTTGTTTTTTTTCACAGAGTCTTAGAAAAAACACAGAGAAATTTTCGCCAAGAATTTTCTTCCCCCTTTTTTTTTTATTTGGCTGGCAAAACATTTTGCGCGTTGTCGCTAACTCTTGTTGTTGTTGTTGTTGCTGTTTTTGTCGTTGTCGTTGCTGTCGTGCGAAGTTGTAGAAATGTCTGCGGTCATTAGTCAATTAGTTGGCCTATCAACAGCGCGCTTTTGACTTGACTTGCTATGTTATTGTGATCTTAGTCTATATCTATTGGATGGGTGCGTGTGTCTGTCAGTGCATAAGTACCGCGAATGTGACTAGGATTATACATATACTTGTATGTAGATAGTCTAGTTAAAAGCTAAAACTCTAAATCGGAAAGACTTCTATAGATACATTTTGTACACATCATAAAATAACTCAAGAATATGTAATAGTAGTACTTTGTAATGTAAAGCAGACACTGATTTAACAAGTTTTCTCTTTTAGATTTTCAATCGAGCTTGACTATACAACAACAAACAAATAAAAAGATTGGAAACAGAGATTAATCAATTATGTTTTTATGCAAATGGGTATTGCGAGCGAATATTTATGCATAAATACTTTAATTTACTTTAAAACTCATATGGGCTCTTATCTAACAATACTCGTATTTGGCTGATCTTTAGGCTGCTCTGCCTCGTCTTTGTTATGGAAGACCCATTAACATTTCATTTCTAGTAGCTTGTTCAAAAATTGTTGATTCGAAAAGTCCTATTCATGCATTGTGATCAATATTAGTGATCATGATTAGTGCATTTTTACAGATCCATTGGGATTGACAGATCATTAAATAAAGTGCTCTTAAGAACTGATTTCAATACTTACCGCTACACATTCACACTTGATGCAATACATGACACCAAACGGCGGTCCCAAATCCGCATACCAAGTGGAGCCGAGCTCGCGAAGAACCTTGCCAAATTGGCATTCCGTTACTGTAATGAGAAAGCGTTGGAAAATGCAATTAATAGAGTATTTTAATAATTATAATATATATATTCTAATTGATTAATATATTCTAATATGGTTGTTTTTGAATTTCTGTAAAGGGCCTTGGACGCTTAAATGATATTTGTTGTGTACTATAAGTACAAATTTTCTTTTTGTTTTTGTTATTGCTATTTTGATGCGCAATGTTTTTCCTCAATTGCTATATTTGTTTTTCACAATTGCTATATATGTATATACTTATACATATATGTACATATTAGCTGATCTTAACATTGCCGCTGGCGCCAGTCAAATGCAATGTTTGTGCATATGTGCAAGTGTGTGTGTGTGTTTGTATATACAATTAGCGGTGTCGGGCATTGTTACCATATAGACACATACAAGTATAGTATACATATCTACATACATACATATATATACTAAACGGTATTTGTGTACAATATTTATAAGCCATTTGCCATTTGTGAGCAACTTAGTTGTTGTTGCTGCTATTATTGCCTTTTCACTGCTATAAACAAAACGTAAATGTCGAAAAGTAATAATAATTATAATCAACTAAATGGCAAATGGACAAGCTCTATAGCGCCCACACAGACACTGGATGAGCAAGGTGGACGGAGGAAGGGGGTTAAAGAGGAGGATAGTATGTACTACGTTGTGCCTAAGTTGCTTTTAACAGCTTAACAGCTGTTAGTTAACAGACTGCGTAGGCTGCTGTAATCTTAAGCCTTCTTTTATGCAACTCAATAAATAGCCAAGGCGTTGTCAAGCCTGCGTGCGTTGTACAGTCAGCCATCTCTTCAACGAACTCAAGGAACCGCCACGGTATTGTATATTTGAATTTATGTATGATAATGTATTTAAGCCGATCAGTATTTAAAAAACTCAAAAGAAAACAGTAAGGAATGTCTGTCTGTATGTACGCCCTATTTCTAATCGATTTCAAAGGTAACAACACCAAAATTGTTGTGAGCAATATTGCGTGTTCTGTGCAGCTCAAGTTTGTTCGATTTATAAAAGAAAATGATTTTCAAATATTCAGAGCATAATTTATGTACATAAGAGGGTTTCCTGTGAACGATACAACAGATAAAGCGGTTTGTCATTTTAATGAAGTGACTCGCTTTAGGAGAGTTTGTCTGTTTGTCTTACATAGCAGGCAGCAGAGCTGGCTGGTCTGCCTGTCTCATTGACAGCAAACTTATTGCCACAGCATGTACAGATTTAAAGACAAGATTTTTTTTTGTTTTTGTTTTTTTTTTTTTTTGTGGGCAGAGTAACGCATCCTACTCAGAGATACACCAACACACATATTCACACACTGGGATAGAGCGAGAAAAAGATGCAGATAGACGACCAAGTGGCGCCTCAGTGCGCTTCCGGCAGCGCTTGACGCGCAGCGTTTTAAATTACAAATGCCAAGCAAAAAAAAAAAAAAAAAAAAAAAAACCACACACTCGCGCACACAAAGAGCTTAAAAAATATAGACAGAGCAAGGCAACGGCCAAAACAGTAACAAATTCAAATCAAAAGGAACGCTGGCAGCTGCGCGCGTCTGGCGCCAACAAGTGTCAAATTGTTAAAAGGCATGTAGGAGAGATGCCTGGCAAGGCACAGATATAGGCACAAATGCGTATATACATACATATGTACTTATAGTAGATACTTAGTATATAATAGTGATGCAGAGAAACAAAGTTTCGCATCCAATTGGCCGCACGCTTCGTATATCCGATCGTCCATGTCGCTTGTCAACCAGTTGCGCTCGAAGTTCAGCTTTTTGATTTCATTGGAAACATTTTGACTTTAATTAGATGCGCGGCAAACTTGCAAGGCGACACTTTTAGCTTTCAACTGTTGTTGTTGCTGTTGCTGCTGCTGCTGCTTGTATGCAAATCGAAGCTAACGCGAGTTAAAATATTAATATATTTTAATTACCAACACACATGAAAATTATGCTAAAACTTTTGGCGCCAGCCATAAAAAATGTAAAGCTCTCTTGATGCTCGTTTGGGGGCCCCACTCAAATGAGCTAGTAAAAAACGACAGCAACAGTATCAACAACAACAGCAACGACGGCAACGACAGCAATGAAGCCGCCGATAGACAGAGAGTGAATAGATAGACAGACGGACGGACGGACGGACAGACGAGCAGACAAATGTGCAGACAGACATACATAAAACCAAATTGGAATTTCGACTATGCAAAGAAGTCGCGACGTTTGACAAGCGTGCCTAATGGGGTGTTGCTGGTGAACGAGGGGAATGGGGTAGGGGAAGGGGAAGGAGAAAGAGCTGCCAACGCAGGAGGTGAAGGTTTTCTCAATGGCAATGCATTCGAAAATGTTATGAGGCATTTGCTAGGTTAATTGAGGCATTAAGCAAATACTTAAGATGCTATAATTCATACTTTACAGCAAAGTCCATCAATTTAGTATCAATACTGTTACCATTTTATCTCATTAGAAACACTTTGCACACCTTTGTACAAATCCTTTGTAAAATACAAACCAACCGTGTTAACGTTTGCTAAGCAATTTCCCCTTAATACAGCTAAAATTGCTGATTACAAGCTATTAATAATTATTACAACAAGAAGACAGATTTTTTTTTTTGTGATTCTGCCTCTAGTGTAGAAGTATACTTGTACTTCTAATCTAAAAGAGTTTTTAAGGCCGTAACAATGATATGTGACGCTGCGAATTATATTTATTTTCAATTTGCTAGTCTTATGCCATTATCATTAATTATTGCATGTTGTCATGGACTTTCCTCGGCCCCAGTAAGTAAGCTTTGTCATATCAGTGCGCAAATGTGGAAGAAGAAGACGGCGAAGACAACGTAGCAGCTGCATAAAACAAAATCAAATAATCAACGACAATAAACTAATTAACTAATACACGTGAAACAGCTGCTGTTGTTGTTGCTGTTGCTGCTGCTGCTGCTGCTTCTTACACCCACCATGGCGTATACGTGATAAGTGGCGCTAACGACGCGCGATGTTTATCAAGTGCTTGCGCCTCACTTGATTCTATTGTAGCGGCTGCTGGCGCCAGCTTTATTTGCGTGCGAAAATGTATTATTTAAATACAGCAACAGCCGTAGCAACAACAACAATAACACTGAGCCCGGCAAAGTAATCAGACAACAACAAAATGCCAATGCCAAACACAAAGAAAGATAGAAATCGGGGAAAAAATAAGCCAAAGCCAGCCACAAAACAATTTAAAATGCTCTTTGATTTAAGCTGCCGATTTACGCGCAATCATAAATATTTATTTAAAAAAAAAAAATGATCGGCAGAAAACCTAAAAAGCAAAGCTACAACAGCAGCAACAACAACAAACGCGGCACCACCATTATTGCTGCTGTCATTGTAGTAACAGTAACAATAAATAAGGCTGGAAATTTTGCGCGGAATTTGTTGTTGCTTGGTCGCCTGCTGTTAGTTAACAGCTGCTGTTAACTCGAGCTTTTAGCTACAGGGGGCATTGCAAGCAACAACAAACGGCAAATACTGTTATTGTTGTTGTTGCTGCTGTCAGCCTCTAGAATTACATTTGGAGCCCACACACAACAGCGTCAAATGCGGCAGCAGTTTCACACCTCCAAGGTGCGTACGTGTGTGTGTGTGGGTGTGAAGTCTTTGGATGATATATGATGTGTAGTGTAGAATGTTGCTGGCAACCATTTCGATTTAAAGTTGATGCAAAATTTCTCATTTGAAGTGACTAAATTTATGAAATAAAATAAACTTGTTTACAATTATAACTAACAAGGTGGAGAGGATGAGGAGTTTCTAAAGCAATTTTAATCATTTCTGGGATCCTAGCTCGGAGGAGATCATTTAATAATTATCTTAGATCTTGGACTTGAAATAGAGAAAGAGGTAGCACATTTTGTTTCTGCAATACTTAACGCTTCATATTCGATCAAAATAATGGGTGTTTTTGGGCAGATACCTCAAATACAGATCCTAAGTATTGAACTGACACTTTGTTGAATATTTTTCCCACAGCGTGTTGGCCTCGGCTCTTATTATGCATAAATAAAAACAAAAAACATATATATCAGATTTGCTGTCGGTGTCAGCAATTATTTGTCATTATGCAGATCCAAATATTTCTGTTTGAGCTTGTCGTTGTTGTTGTTGTTGGAAAAAAATAATTTTGCATTTAATTGAAATTTACGTTAATTGGCTCGGCATTTTTGCGCTCGAATTCACTTTTCGCTTCTCGCTACATTTGTTTTTGGGCATTTTTAATGGATTTTATTGCACATGCAGAATGCATGCAAAATCAGCACAAAATCTATATAAATATTATACAAATTGTGGAATTGGTGTAGAACGAGGTTACACACGTATGCATGTATAACGAAAAATTACATACATATGCACGAGTATGTATGTATGTATGTACATATGTACTTTACATGTGTATGTATGATAAGAGCAGGAGGGCGCTCGGGGAGAGAAACAGGAATGTACTCGTACATACAAATAAAAATCCATTAAAGCAAATTTATGTTGATTGATTGGCGCCAAAGACAGATGAAATTCAAAGGCATGGTAAATAATAATAAAGTGAAACAAAGTGTTAATTGCAGTGCATCTACACCAATAATAATAATAATGAAGAGGCATTCTGATTGTACAAAAATGTAAATAAAACTGAATGTGAATGAGCGCTTGAGTGCCGTGAATGCACTTTACGCGCACAAACAAAATGATTAATAAAACAATAAATAATATAAACTACTAATTGCAACTAATGTGCAGCACAAAAGTTACTCCTCCGACAAATGTACACTCACACATAAAAACAGCAATCAAGAACGATATGTGGATACCTAGCCTTGAACAGTTCATTCTTGTGCTTTGCATGCGTTTTGCGTGCGTCAAAAAACGCGCACAAATAAACTGAACAAAAAGTAACCAAAATAAAAGGCACAATGTGTGGGCAAAGGCGGGTTGATGGTAT